GTCGGTTCTTGGTCGATATCCAAGCGTGCGAAGGCACAGAGACACGGCACTTCGGCGTGCCAAGGATGCTTTGAACACGCCGCCAGCCCTTCCTTTCGACGCGTTGTGCCTTTTTCCTGCGACACTGCACTTTCGTAAAATTTTCCACGTGTTCACAACGGAAAGTCTCAACAATACACAGAGTCTTCAAAAAACTTCTTCGGCGAATGACGACGAACGAGTAGAAAACGTGTCGTCAGCACGCTGGAAAACCGCAGCAAAGGCTAGCAAAAACGGCAAATCGTATCCCAAGCGAGTGAAGCCCGGTGGCTTCACTTGCGCTGCAGCGAACAAGCGGGGAAGCGCGATCCAGCAATTGTCATAGAGATCAGTGTATGGACCCTACCCAGTGTATGTAGAGCTGCTGGCACTGCTCCGGAACTTCGCTGTTTCTAGCGGCTTCGTTAGCTCATTTGATAAAATTAGTGGTAAAAACGTCAATGCAACCGAAATGTTCTGCACGTTTGGACTAGAAGACGGAATTACAGGCGGCCTTCGCTGCCGCTGAAGCTCAATCAACTCAACATTAATTTATTAAACAACGTGCGCGATGTGCTCGAAAAACGAAACCGAAAGAAGATGGGTCGGGAGGGCGAAAGCTTTCTCCGGTCTGCCTGGAGGAGGAAAACGTCTCGGAGAATAATAAGGACTTTAATTTTCCTTTCATCGGTCTGGGTTTGTTTATGTGTGTTTTGGTAAACAAAAAAAAAAAAAAAAAAAAAAAAATTACAAAAAAAAAAAAAAAAAATCACTTTCCTGGGGATCGAACCGTTGACCACTTGGTCAGTTGCGCGATGTTCTACCCCTGCGCCAACTGAACAAGGAGGAACTCGCCCTCCTCCCGTCATCTGAACTGCCGTTCCTCCCTTCTCTGGGCAACTTGACCGCAACAAGGAGGAACAGTCGCTTTTGCTACCTTTCTCCTCCCTTTTTTCTTAGAGTGTATGTTTGTGTGCGTGTGTGTGTTTGGTATTATGTGTGCGTGTGCATGTCTTTGTTTTCGTCTGTTAGTCTGTGTAAGAAGCAGCTAACTTCTCCGAAGACCCGGTCACACTATCAGACGCGTGTTTCTTTTTGTATGAGCCTGTCCTCTCATAATAGTCATACAAAAAAAAAAAAAAAAAAAGAAAAAAGCTGTTTTTAAATTTGTTTATATCCTGAGGCCAAGAAAAGAAAAATTAATGTGTCGCGGATTGCCCTGCGATTGTGTTGCTGCGTGAAATATTTTTGGTTTAGCGCTAGTGGTGCGAAGCCATTAGCGCCAAACCGAGTGTTTAGTGTATTTAGTGGTGAGTTAGTGTTAGGGTTAGTTAGAGTTCGTTAGAGTTAAGGTCACATTGTTGCTTTTCGTAGTACACAACTTTGAGGCAATGTTCTGTCTCCGTGCGAGTCAGGGTTAGAGTTAGAGTTAGCTATATTTAGTGTTAGTTGGAGTTAGTGGTACTAACTCAAATTTTCACGTGTGAATTTTCCTGCTAAATATAGCGGGTAAAGTTATTTATGTGGGGGTCACGTGACGTCAATTTTCTCGCTAAATCTAGCGGGAAAACTGAGTTAGAGTGTAGGTCACGTGACACCATGTCACGCGACGGAAATTTGTCTGCTGCATTTAGCGGACAAAGTGAACTTGTATATACGGCGTGTGACACGAAGTCGCGCGACATCATTCTCCCTGCAAAATTTGGCGGGGAAACTGGAACTGTTGTTTAGCTCACGTGACTGTGAATTCACTCACTAAATTTAGAGGGGAAGCTGAAATTGCGCATGTCACGTGACGACATCTTTCCCGCTAAATTTAGCGGGAAACAAGCATTACCTCGCTAAATTAAGCGGAGAGACTGAATGGGTGTCGAGGTCAGGTGACCTTCATTTTCCCGCCAAATGCAGAGGGCAAACAGAATTTCCTTGTGGGTCACGTGGCCATGTCACGTGACGTCCATTTTTCCAACGCGGAAACTGAATTCGCGTATAGGTCACGTCATGCCACGTGACCTATACATCAGTTTCCCCGCTAAATTTAGGGGGGAAATTAGCGGATACGCTTTTCCGGGCTTCACTTCATCTAAAAGCCTAGCCTATAAATGTTTCATGTTAAAACATGATTCGAACAACGCATGAGGCGCACCCGCAGATTCTTCTATAATCATGTCTGCGGCGGATGTACGAAAAGTGTGAGGGAGGCTTAAAAGCTAAACCCTAGGAAGTAGATAAAAAATAGTTGAGGGGAGCTAGGCAGTCGCTCCACGGTGACTGTTTTGATTCCCCTCGATCTGTCACCGAATCACCATAAGGACAAGGCTGCGACCACTTGTCAACCACTACGCCACGGTTGCCTGAGCCGCCAAGCTGGTCTGCTCAGACATGTACAAATTACTCAAAAAAAGGTAGTTAAGTTAAGTTACTGAGTATCGACGCCAAAAGTAATTGGAGTAGAGTAGAAATTACGCATTTGGCATTTGTTATAGTAATTCAGTAAACTATTAACTACTGTAAAAAGTAGCGAGTTACTTTGAAGTTACTTTCGAAGTTACTTTTCTATATTTTTGTGGTAGCAAAATGAACAGCAGTTTTGATCAATGAAAAAACCCTGCGAGCATAAAATTAATGCAGTGTATTTATGGCTTGCGTTTTCGCCAAAATAGTTTATTCGCTCGCAGAAGCAATTGACTTTCAAAGTTCTTGATAGGAGAGTTTTCCCTTTTTTCTTCTAAAGACGTCCCCAGCCAAGCTAGAAAGACGTTCCACCGACGGGCTTGATGGAACGGCAGCATTGAATTTGAGAAACAGGCTGTGCAGGGTCGGGTAAACGAGTGTCGGCATCTTAGGTATCCATGACGAAACATGTAAGGTTTGCCTCGGGTAGAGGGTCTTTTAAAACAAACTTTCCTCCTTTTTTTCTTTTTTCTTCGTCAAGTTGAGATTGTTATGACTGGCCCCTCTTTATTCCGACGTCGTTCTGAGAGTACGCTGAGAGTTCTGAAAGTACGTCAAGGGTTCAAATCTCGCGCCACGACGATGAGATCATCCGGACGACTGCGCGTCCCGTTGTAGTGCTAGCGCTACGCTCCTGAAAAAAAAAAATGTTTTTGTTTAACAGAAGATAAACCGAAGTATACTTCGCCGCTGACGCCGGGTCCAACAAAAAGATCTCCCAAGGGTGACTCCCAATCCTCGCCGGCGACTACAATATTCTGACGCGCCTGACACGCCTGACAAGTAAGGTCTCCCAGGCATGGATGGTCGGAAGGACGCGAAGGATTACGTGAACAAGCATCGTCGCTCGTATACAGTTGCAGCTGGAAGCGCGAACGTGCTCCCATGAACGGATTATCCGTGCCAGGGTTTGTGCGCAGGGGAGTCCGGCTTTGCAAAGGCGTACGCGCTGTCGACAAGGCGACCATGGGAACAGGCACCCAGCTGCGAGGTCCTTCCAGTGGCGACTCCCGTGGAAACTACCACTTGAGTCAGAACTCACTAAAGACAGACAGCACGAAAACAACAACAACTCTCGGAGTGTCCTCGTCTTTCACGGTTGCAGCTGGAAACGCGGCGCCTGCGTGCAGTACAGGATTAGGTCAATACCCGACCAAGGCTTGTTAAGCATCTCTTCCTGCATTCGTGCGTGCCGGTGTTATATTTTGGCTGCTCGTCGCCACCTTGGCCCAAGGACGCCTTCCCGAACAAGGGGGCCCCTTGTTCGGGAATGCCACTTCATCTGCCGGCGTCTTATTCATTTCTGCGCTCAAATTTTCGTGATGGCCAAATTAACACTAAATAATTTCGAAAGTAGTTAGTAATTTGAGTAGAAGTTACCTGAAAAAAGTAGTTAAATTAAACTACTAATTACCCAAATAAAGTTGTAATTGAAAGTTACCAAGTTACTCGAAAAAGTAGTTAAACTACAGTAGTTTGAGTAGAGTAGTTGAACTACGTCCAAGTCTGGGTCTGCTGCATGGGGCTTGCTCTTAGTATCGCAAATAACGACCGCGTCTGCTCATAGGTTCGTGTTACCTTACAAACCGAGGGCCACCTTCAACCTCTGGTCTATTCTTGAGCAGCACATAATTCCACCGGGGCTCCTCTGGCTGGTGGTCGCGCAAAAATGCATCGTTCGAACCTGCATATTCCAAGCGAGGTAGGCGCCGAGACGTTGCGGCCCGCTCCCCACCGTCCGCAACAGGCTCCATGATTTCCAATTTCCAGATTTTGCGCTAAGAGTAAAATAGAGCAAACACCGTTTAAACGGCAAGGTTCCGCTCTGATGCTTTGATGCTTCAGGCGCACCCCACTTCCTTCACCTTCAGCGAAAGGAAACAATCACATTTCTTTTCTTTTTCCCAGGGAGCAAGAAGTCTTTGACCCCCAAATTCTAGAAAGACCCTCTGCAACACAGTTACCTCATAACATGTAATTGATCTTACGTAACTGCAACGACGCAGCACTTAGATCGGGCGGGAGTCCCCACATCGCTACGCATGCTCAATCTTTAACAAATGATAGCCGCAGAAAGAAGGACCGGGCACCAATATAAACAGGTCTGCAGATACTGTCACCAAAGGGAGGAGTGCACAAACTTCGGTGTTTTACGTTTTTATTCCACGGGGGAAACACACGCGGTGCAACAACCCTTCCTGGAGCGTCTCGCTAGTTTCGGTTTCCACGGAGCGTCGATCGGAATCTCATCGAAGCGGAGGCTACAGCCTTCCCCCCCAAGACATATCCGCCGGCAATAACGACGAAAGCCGACGCGCGTCAGAGAAAGGCGGCGGTGACGTCACCTTAACCCTACCCTCGGATTGGCCGTTCCTGGGCCGCCGCGGCGAAGATAAATGAACAACGTGTCCCTCAGTCACGGCCCTAGCTAATGGTAGGCGGGCGTCCAGCTGCAGACATCCTTTCCTGCTCTTGCACTCACTCTTGCGGTGCCAAGGCTTCCGAAACCAGTCGCCGAGACCGTGAACCAGAGGCCATCGTCGTTGCCTTTGTTTGTCGTCAGCGGCCGCAAGAGAACCAGTTTCCCTTCGCTTTAGTCCCCGCACACCTCCGCCTCTTCGGTTGCACGTTACGGTTCTCCAGAGATACGCTGACTTGTGTTGTGAGCGGTCGCGTCTATCACCGGCAGCTGTGTCCGAGTTCGTCGTTCCCTGGCACGTCGGCTGAGGAACCGTCGTCGCAATGGATTCGGATGCGGTCTTACTCAACGTGTCCAAGCTGGAAAGTGAAAACTTGAAGAGCGTGCAAGGGATTGACAATGTGGCACTGGACCTATCTACTGCTCTGGATGTTCCTAAGCGTAAGTTATTTATGCGGTTTAATCAACAGCCGACAACTGCGGATAGCGGTTGGAAACAGTTGGTGGTGGGGTATTTTGGGAATGCACACACGATTGTGCTGCAAAAGACTTGCGGATGAAGTAGTGAATCCACAGGAAATATTTCTTATGTATTACTTTGAATGTTTGTTTTTGTTTTATTTACGTGCGGTGCTTTCTCCTCAAGGGGTGGCATAGTAGGCCATTCACAGCCGGACTGACAAGGTTGTTGTTTCTTGTGTTTTAGAATTCTCATGAGGGCAGAACACTTCCAGAAGCAATCAGCCAATGAGAGGGGCTAGGAGAATGGCGTCTAAATGGTTACGTGCTGTCTCAATGAAAGAAAGACGTTCACCCTTTCATTCTACTGAATTTCGCATTTTCATTGAAGTATGCTACCTATCACCCGTCTCATTCTCTAAACTCAGCAAAAGAAGACAAATGATTAGTGGTGTAGTATTTGCACAAATCCTACGCCGCATTGTACAAAGGTTATTGGCGTTTGGCTTGCACTCCTTGTACTCCAGGATTTCAATGAGAGCAAGTCAAAGGACAAGACCCTTTGTCTTGCAGTGGCACTCCTTGAACTCCAGGAGTTCAATGAGGGCAAGTCAAAGTCCCTTTGTCTTGCAGGGGCAACGGGATAGCCAACGTTTACCATTCACAAAAAATCTTGTGCAAACCGTCATTAAAAAAAAAGTGAATTCGCGCACGGTTTTTGATATTAAGGACATAAAGAAAAAAAACAGAAAGTAAAAAGAAAAAAAGAAAAGTTCGAAGTCAGCGACTGAGCTTGTTTTTATTGGCAAAAAATCTCTGATTTCCACTTGCTATGCCAGCCCGAGGGAATGGCCCCGTGGCCATGGCGTTCTGACTGGTTCCTGCACGTGTAGTATGTGGGCGAAGAACCTTGGCAAGCTGCCAATCGTACATACGTGCGCGCTCGCACGAGTAGATGTAGTAGATGCAAGGACCTGGTCAGATTGACTTTGGATCTCGATCGCAGACAACTTGACAACTCATTTTCAGCTTCAGAAATAGAGGGCTTCGCGGCTCCCGAGCGTCTTATCATCACCCCGCAGCCGATAAGGTCGGGGCATTGGCCAATAAGAACGCCGGAGAATGAATCACAAAGCAAGATGCGTGAGCACATATAATAAGTTATGCAATGCGTTTCTAAGGCTGTCGGTGACTGTATACGGCGACTAAGTTTTCCAATATGCGTCTTTGACGCATCAGCACGTAAGGAGGGGGTACGCCAATCAATTGGTAAACATAGATGACGCGCAGGGAAGACGCGATGTCGAGACGACCAAACGCGTGCCGTCATTGCTTGAGGGGTGGGGGAAAGCAAAAGCACGTAGGCGCGTCTGGGGAGTGAACAGACGCACGAGGTCCGCGAAGAGCAGACCAACTTGCACGTCGTACACACTGTTCGGGAGAGCTAGCCGATTCGGTGTGCCATCGAAGCATGCCGAGTGTGTTAGTGCGCCACAGCTCGGAGCACGTGGAACAAAAGCTGGCGCTTCAGAACCCGGGGATCCCGTGTTCAATCCCCACCCCTAGGATGCCCGTTTCGATCCGGATGAGCATCGTACCGGCGTGCGGTCGTATAATAATACTGCATGATGCACGTCAAAGAACCCAGGCTAGGGGTTCTTTGACATGGCGTCTGAAATCTAGCTCGGTGCTGCGGTGTGGCGCCATGATCTTCCCAAGGGTTGCATGTTGCACGTGCCTCGTGCATCGACGCGCGGTGCGCTACTTTTATCTCACCAGCCGGTTTGGCCACGCCACCGCTACCGAGGGAACTTCAAGGCCGGTTGCCACATGCAGTGGAGCGCTGTTCAGGCGTCGTCGGCTACTTATCGTCTGCCACGAGCAACAATTTTGGCGGTGCGATGCAAATCTGGTGAACGCTCCCGTGAGCACGCACTTAGCGGAAAGTCAGCTCTGTGCTTATTGCGCTGCGATGTTTTTGTGAACAGGCCCTTGTTGCACGTGCGACAACCTCGCTGAAGAGCCCTAAGCGTGCATAGCACAAGACGGCACGTGTTGTCGCGTGCACTGCCTTCTGTAAATTAAAGTTATGGCAACGTCACGCATGCGCCGATCGCTTGGTGAGATCGGTTTGTTGTCGGTTCCTATCTGATTGAAATGGCGATGGTTTTTTCTTCTCTCCAAAGTCTGTTGTTGTTTGTTTATCGTAACGCATTACAAGTAAACCTGTTGCTCGTCACTTCCACGCTTTTTCTCGGTGAAGAAAGAATAACATCGCTCATTCTTTCATTTAAAAACAAATTGTGATTTTTTTGTCTGTTGAATGTGTGGCAAACAGGGATATTTAGTTGAATTTTTTTTTTTTTAAATCTGAGGAACAGTTACAACGCCAGCCTTGTTTTCGACCAGACTCGTCTTGTGTTTGCGTCATCGCGATCGACATACCTCAGACGAACAGAGAAGCAAAGGCCGGTCCGAAGTAAGCAACTTAGCAATTCTTATTCCCCCGCGACTTCATCTCAATCCCACCTTTTCTAATGATTACCCTTCTCATCCTTTCCAAACCTGAGAACGATCCGAGTCAACAAGATGTTTGTCTAGCTCACCTCTCAGCCGCTTTTTTTTTTTCTTCGTCTCTGTCAGTTGTATGCAGCCTTTTCTTGAACACCCGTTACACCCTCTTTAAAAGTAACAAAGAAGTTCTGTGCTACTTTTGAGTATCAGTGGTGAGTAATGCACCTAATTACTTTTTGAGTGGGCAACAGTAGCACTACTTAGTTACCTTTTCTTTTTAGCAACGCGCGCACTTGTCTGGTTCAGAGTACTGTCCGTACGAGGCGAGAAACGAGTCGACAGTGTCTTTATGAGACAGGCCACTCCAGTATTCTATAGTCGGTGACAGGTTAAAGGGATACTGAACCAAGGAATTCAGTGTCCATAATAAGTGGCGCACTTTCTTTCCACGAGCCAGCAGCTGCCGATGTGCGCGAGCACACCCAACAAAAATGACGTCAAAGGCCTCCATTCGCGGTTGAGATGACAGTGAAATGTATGGGCTTCGAGCCAAGGGAGAATAAAGACAAGTTTTTCATCTACACAGTGGTGTCTGGCGTAAAAGGTAAGCGATTAATTGGTCTAACAAGCACGTAGCTTTCACTTGTAGAGATGAAAAGCCTGTCTTTATTCTCCTTTGGCCCGAAGCCCATGCATTTCACTGTCCTCTTAAGCGCGAATGGAGGTCTTTGACGTCATTTTCGCTGCGTGTGCTCGCGCATACCGGCGGCTGCTGGCTCGTGGAAAGAACGTGCGCTACTTATTATGGGCACTAAATTCTTTGGTTCAGTATCCGTTTAAGAACCCAGTGTGGAATCCGCCTCGAGCGCGGGCCTTCTGCCTTTGCCAACACTTGGTGGCACGGCGCAGCCTAGGCGAGGCGGAAGGCAGGCAAAGGAGCTCGTGCTGGTGGCGGAGCATCTACTCGGTTCGTAACCTGCCACTCACTCTCTACTTTGTATTCCCTGAGAGCTTGAGAAAGGCCGGACGTGGCTGATCATGTTCAAGCTTCTCGCTTCGAGATTCGTCCTCCAGCCTTCCTATCGGCTAATGACGCAGTCTCATTGACTACGGACGATAATAGGGTGCTCCGGACTCTCCACACCCCTCGTTTCTTAGAGTGTCGGCGACTATAGACACGATCTAGACTGTCGCATGCAAGCACTGAGCGAATCAGTTTTGAATATAAGCACGTTCACGTGTATCGGAATATATTAATATAATTCGCATATCCTTCTTCAGACCTTTTGAGATGAGCGTGTGCTGCTATCAACGGGTGATTAATACCGCCAAAAACAAATCCTTTTTTTTTTGTATTTATTTTTATTAGGAAAGCGGTGTTTTCGATGCCACATTTGTTTTCCCGGATCCGCGCTACTGTGGCGCACGTGTCGTGAGGGTATGTTGTTGTTCCGGACGGACGTCTAATGACCGGTTTTTCTCCCACTACTCCCGTTTTGTTCCTCCTTGGCCTTGGGGCATTTCTCGATTGGGCAGACCCGTCCGGACTCGTGAGCAAAAGAGCGCTCACGCCTACGTCCGCGGCCTTGACATTGAGAAACACGCAGCCCGTCTGGTAAATATCTACCATATAAAAATGTAAAAAAAAAAGACGTAGAATAATGGAGTTATTTCATTTCTATTTCACTCGTTCTCTTTATCTGAACACTCTCTGATGCTCCTACATTCTGCATACTGCCCCGCAATGCGTTTGGAACGCTCACATCAGTCATCATTTAACTTAATGCGTCCCACACTCTGCTTCCCTGTGACGCATCAAGACTATAAAACACGACTTGACCTTTCTAGACATTTCTTATATACCGAGATTTTGTTATCTCCGCACTGGCGAAAGGGGCTCAGATCTTTGCACCGTCACCACATGCGACGTCGGTGCTTGATGGCATTAAAAATAACTTTTCTGTGTTTAAATACGCAGGGACAATAAAGATCTGTGGGAATAAGTATGATTGATAAGTTGATTGCATGCCAATGACGGCTTATATTTGCGAGGGTCGCTTTCGGTACGGAGGATGCTCCACTGCGATCTACACACGCCTGGTTGAGAGCAACTCTTTCTAAGCTTCGGAGGTTTAAAAAGACCGAATTGGAGATTGCTATGGCAACGAATACCTATCAACCAATCGCTTTGGGAGGGTTTGGTCGTCTGTATGTATCTGCTTGTGTCTTGCGACCAGGAAGGGAAGGCAATGGCGCTACTTTTCAAGGATTGAGTGACTATAGATAACTTTTAATGACTCAAATCTGGTGGGCGGGAAAAGTGTATATGGATTGAAGGGGTAAATTTTGGTGCGCTCCATTACTCTTTTGAAGTAAAATGTGAAAATGCGCCAAAGTCGTGTTGGCGGTAACAGTGTGCGCAGTGACATCACATACAACATAATTGCTTCATTTCGATAGATATATAA